TAGCACAGAGTTATCCATAAACAGGATCACAAGAACTCCCAAGGGAAATCTTACCATCTATAGGGATTCCCTCTCCATTTGGATTCTGTTCTGTTTATCTTCCATTACAGTGGTAGATACCTTTGGTGAGTATGTTTCTCCCTGTCTGTACCTAACTTAATATTAATAATCAGAGAATTGTTGAACAAAGATATTCTGTTATGTCAATTAAAACATCTTTTGCCTTGTTGGAGGAGACAGTCTTTAAAGTTACATTTTATACTTAATATTTTTTTCAAGTACATGTAAAATAGTTTTCAACATTCTTTTTTGTAAGATTTTGAGTTCCAATTTTTTCTCCCTCCTTCCCTTCTCTACCCCATCCCCAAGAAAGCAAGTAATCTGATATAGGTTATACATGTACAATCATGTTAGTCATGTTGTGAAAGAAGAACCAGAATGAAAGGGAAAAAAATGGAAGAAAAAAAAGGAAAAAACAAGTGAAAATAGTATGCTTTGATCTGCATGCAGATGCCATAGTTCTTTCTCTGGATGAGGACAGCATTTTCCATCACAAGTCTTTTGGAATTATCTTGGATTGTATTACTGAGAAGAGCCAAGTCTATCATAGGTGATCATTGTACAGTGTTGCTGTCAGTGGGAACAACGTTCTCCTGGTTCTGCTCACTTCAGTCTGTCGCCAGCAATCAGATAGTGCACCGAACGGGAAGGTGCGAAATAAACGTGAGACATGAGCCAGGCGGAGCAGTAAAGACTGCCTCAGTGTATTCATCTGAGGGTACAGGATATATAGAAAAAATCTAGCCTAACTTCAAAGAGTCGTCCCTGTGAGATACTCCCTAAAACATTTGCTGAGGATGTGACAACATACATTTCCTCGTTATCAGGGTTCCTAGATTGGGTTGTATTTTCCAAGGCTTTCCCAGGCACCTTGGAGCCACCTGCATAGAGGAGTGAATGTGTAAATCTAAGGTTCAAAGGGTGAGAAGGAATGTCTCAGGAGCCTCCCTTGCAGGGGGACATTTGGAGAGCCCTGCTTCCTAAACGATTGAGCCCTGTGGGTTAAGCCTGGGCAAGAGTCAAACTCTGTCCTGGATCTTAAACCCAGATCGGACTCTTTAGAGCCAGCCTTCAACATCAGTCAGCATCAGTGTATATAAGTCTTTCCAGGTTTTTCTGAAATCTGCCTACTCATCATTTCTCATAGCACAGTAGTATTCCATTACATTCATATACCACAACTTGTTCAAGCCATTTCCCAATTGATGGGCATCCCCTCAGTTTTCCACTATTTTGCTACCACAAAAAGGATTGCTATAAATATTGTATACACATGAGTCCTTTTCCCTTTTTTATGATCTCTTTGGGATACAGACCTAGTAGTAGTATTGCTGGACCAAAGGGTATACCTGGTTTTATAAACTTTAAGCATAGTTCCAAATTGCTCTCTAGAATGGTTAGATTAGTTCACAACTCTAGCAATAATGCATTAGTGTTCCTACTTTTCCACATCTTCTCCAACATTTATCATTTTCCTTTTCTGTCATATTAGCCAATCTGTAACGTGGTACCTTAGAGTTGTTTTAATTTGCATTTCTCTAATCAATAGTGATCTAGAGCATGTTTTCATATGGCTATAGAGAGCTTTAATTTCTTCACTTGAAAACTGCCTGTTCATATCATTTGACCATTTATCAATTAGGGAATGACTTATATTCTTATAAATTCAACTCAGTTCTCTATATATTTGAGAGATGAGGCCTTTATCAGAAACATTGGCTATAAAAATTGTTTCCCAGCTTTCTGATTTTTTTCTAATCTTGATTGCATTGGTTTCATTTGTGCAAAAACTTTTTAAGTTAATGTAATCAAAATCATCCATTTTGCATATCAAATGTTCTCTATCTCTTGTTTGGTCATGAATTCTTCTGAAGTTGCATTTTGTTCTACCAAATTAGGTACTTTTTGTAGGCCACATACAACAGGCACACTGGGATTTTAGATTCTCTCCAGCTTTCAGACAACTGTGAGATTATGGAGAAGTGGTTTACTATACAAGGTTCCTATTCACTTCTAATTTGTAGCAAGAAGGTTCTCTATCCTCTTCACTGCCTTTTTTCTTTATTTAGCAATGAGATGCATGTTGTTGTTTTTTTGGTAAGGCAATTGGGGTTAAGTGACTTGCCCAGAGTCACACAGCTAGTGAGTGTTCTGTGTCTGAGGCCAGATTTGAACTCAAGTCCTCCTGACTCCAGGGTCGCTGCTCTACCCACTGTGCCACCTAGCTGCTCCTACATGCATGTTTCTTTCCCAGTCATTCTGTATATGCACATGTAATAAGAAGTCCATACTAGAAGCAACATAATTTTAAGGACATGGAGGAGTAAATTCTCAAGAAACATGAAAAGGGAAGATACTGAATCATTGGAGGAAATCATGCATGTTTTTGCTAACAAAAAAGGCAATTAAGAAGCTGTCAAAAGATTTCTGGATCATGAAACCAAGAAGGTGGAGGACTAGATATATTCTCTGATTGCTACAGCTTCTCAGAACTCTCTGAAACAGAAATTATGCACCAAAGATAAAGGAACTTCAGCTTTCTCTACAGTCTAGGACACCCAGAATCCAGAAGAATATAGGAGAAAAAAACCATGAACTGACACCCATCTGGAGCTCACTCAGCACCCTTTCCCCTACCATATAACAAGGCTGTAGTAGAAGATTTGTGAACCAACCCATGGGCTTTCAACAAAATCCAACCCCACCCCTTTCCATTGCCTTATAGATGCTGGCTCCAGGCTGTGGAAATTTGCTCAGGCCCTGACAATCAGCTAGTGCTGTGACAGTGCTTCAGAGACAGAAGTTTGCTATGGCTGCAATAGATAGCCAATGCTATAATAGGCAATGGTCTGTCCTGCAGAAGATCTCTGCAAGATAATAGAAGAAAGGAAGGAAGGGGGCTTGAAGTAAAGCTCAACCCTATATCTTCTCCCTCCTCCCAGAGCTTCAGAGACTCAAACTACAGAAATCAAACACATAACACCAATGTGGTAGCTCTCTAAATTACTGGTACTTGGCCAAGAACTGAGGAACACAGGGAATGGGACAAGTTACCAGGACAAGACACGGGATGGGAGAGTCCACTCCACTAAACCTGAAGGAAAAAGCTCAGGCTCTACCTGGGGCTAATTTTATCCCCTCAAAAGTCATCAGGGAAGAGTCTGAGGTTGGTAGACCATGAAGTGCCCAGCATGGAAAGGGGCTAAGATGCTTTGAGGTCCAACCCCCAAGGAAACCACCATTCATCAGAAGGAAGGGAGTCAGAAAGTTAGCAATAGTGGAAAACTATAGGGGAAAAACTGAAATTACCAAAAATTTCAGGAAGAAAATATAAATACCTTGAACATAAGAAGCAAATACATCAACAGGGAAAACATTAACAATAAAAGAACATATAGCCTCCAGATCTAGTAAACAAGTTCATGTTGGTATGAATAAAAACAAACAAAGGAAAACCAACTCTTGGTGAGACAAAGGCCTTGTGGAATGTGAAGAAGACATGGAACCACAAAATTCTGTTCCTGAGTAGTTGAAAAGTGAAATGAGAATTATGCAAACAGACTTTATGGGCAACAGGGCAAAAAAAGGGGGAGGGGTAGAATATAAAAACTTAAATTTGCAAGGGAAACTCTTCCCAAAGAAACAAAAGAGGGAGCAATAGAATAGGAAGGTAAATATGCAGAAGTGAAAGACAATCTACATGAGAAGCAGAAAAAACAGTAACATTAGAAGAAAACATACTGAAATCCAAGATAGGATGCTGAGAAACAACCTAAGGACCATAAGTCTCCCAGATGAACATGACAGAACAAAAACTATGAATACCATAATGCATGAAATGGCACAAGAGAATTGTCCAGAATTTTTGAATACAGAAAATAAAAATTTCAATTGAAAGAATTCAGATTGCCTCCAGAAAAAAGCTCAAGGGTACAAACTCCAAGACACATAGTGGTAAAATTTAACAATTCAAACAAGAAACAGCTAGTTCTGCAAGCAATCAAGAAAAAGACCTTCAGATATAAAAGAAAGGAAATCCAGATAGCATAAAACCCTTCTGAAGTCACCAGAAAACAGAGGAAGGAATGGAATAATCTGTTCTGAAGTGTAGTTCAGTTCAATATGCAGCCCAGGGTGACCTACCCTGAAATTCTGAGCTTAATTAGAAAAGAAAAATGATGGACATTCAACAATAAAGAGATGCTTAAAAACTTCTTAGAAAGAAAGCCAAACCTGAAGAGATTATTTACTTCTTGAACACTCTAGACAACAGAAATATAGGAGGATTGAATATATGCAACAACTAATGAAAACCAGAGCAAGAGCAGAGAAACTAGGAAGAGATTTCTTTCTGAATGTATACAAAGACACAGTGGTAAAGGCAGAAGTCCAATGGAGGTGACATGGAAGAGGTGGACCTGGGGCATTAGGGACAAAATCTGGCAACAGGTGAATCAAGGTTGGTTTTTTTTTGGGGGAGACTACATTACAAAATGAGAAGGAACATGAAAAGGGAGAGAGGGGCAAGGAGATAGAGGGGATGTGCCTAGGTTAAATCAACAGCTAGCGATGAAAGGAAGGTGACCCCTGTGTTCTGAAGAAGGGAAGAGCCTTCAGGGCAGTGAGTGAGGAATAGGGAGAAAAGTTTGAAAACAGGGATAGAAAGAGGGGAGGCTTGTTTTGGTGGCAGGAGGAGCTCCACTGATGAATGCTTTTATGAGTAAAGAGAGATGTTCTGTATAGTGAGAAGGATACCTTGCTCTGGGAAATTTGGTTCTTGAAAATACTTTTTGTCCTACCTTAAGAGAGGAGTAGTTGGAACTATTGGGACAACTTTCATCTGGGGGAATGGGAAGATATGAACTAATACAGAATAAACATATTTTAAGGGAACAGGGAAGCAAACAAGATAATATATATTGTTTTGTTAATGCTGATGCTTTTATTCTAGGAGAAAAAAAATGAACACTTAGGAGTTTATGATTTTACGTGTAATTTTCTCTTTATTTTTTGTTGATGGCTAAGTTTTAAACAAAAACTCATTTCTTTAGAAAGGAAAAATGAAACAAAACAACCACAGGACATGTTAGTGTCTGGTTGAGCCAGAGGGGAGGAGCAGACACATGTCAGGCATTACCAATTATAATGAGCCATCTCTGACCAGGTTCAAATATGGAAACGTTAACTGTCTCAACCCTTTGACAAGACGAAGAAGCTTGAAGTGGGGGACAATGCTGGCAATGATGCCTGGCAATCCTAGATAACAATTCTGTCACAGACTGGGAGTCTACCTATCCAGAAAGTTGATGAGTGCCCCCTCTAGGGGAAGGCTGGATAATCACTAACAAATGTTAGAGTAGAAATTCTTTTGTGTTATGGCTTAGACTAGATGACCAGGGAGGTTCCTCCAACCTTCAAATTCTATTATTCTCTGTAATCTATAAGCCTTTGAGCTCTTGTTTCTTCATTCTGAATCATAGTTTCCAACTTATTTCTCACCATCTTTCTCTGTTTTCCACTTCTACATACAAGTCACTGAGTATTACAATACATATTGATTTCATTTGGATGTCTTTATCAAGTTGTTAGAATTTTTCTGTCTCCTCATTTCCTTCCAGGGGATGTTGGCACATAAGATAAAGTTATCTTCATGGTGGCATTTTTGCTTATGCATAGCATATATAGTGAAATGCCAGACAACTGAATAACCTGTGGAATAATGTTTCTTGTTGCCTTTAGATGCACAACATAACCAACTCTTCCAACTCCTTTATTTGTCACACTAAGCAGACCTTTCAAGCCATCCTTTCAATTCAGCTCCAACTTCCTTTTGTCTTCTGGTTTGAGTTGTAGTTCAAGTATGAATCCTGATTCGTTTTCTCCAATAGTAGATTAACCTATTGGTTATTAGACAAAGATCTCACTTTTAGAGTGCAAACACACATAAAATAATATTTATAGGTAGTATGAAAATTACTGTGATTCTTAGCATCATCTTCCCTCTCCTTTCCCTTTTTGTCACCTTGCCAGTGCCACTAGAATTGTGAAAAGGGTCAACACAGGATAGACAGCCACTTTGTATAAGTTACCATGACCAACTAATTCCTCATCTAGTGACCAGTAGAGTTGGTCTAGTGGTGTTGAGACTTTCTGTGCTTCACCTAGACTGGGCCCAGGAAAAGCAGACACAGCCTTCTGCTAGGCTTGTATACAAAGCTTTTCAACATGGCAGTACACTGCCAGAGCTTGGATCTCACTGGCACGGTCTTCAGGAACCATGGAGTCACTTCTAAACCAAGATAAGGCATTAGCATAAGGATTTTATGGAAGTATTTAATTCACATTTTTGCAGTGGCTCAGGATTATCATTCTGAACACTAAGTATCAGGAAAGAGGAAAAATGGATTAGTGGAAAGAACATTAACTCTGAAGTCTGAAGTTGTGGGATTGAGTCACTACCTCTTTGAAGTTGTGTTACCCTGGGCAATTGACTTGATTCCTCTAGACTTCAGTTTCCTCATGTTAAAATGAGATTAAATGAGGCAGTTACTATAATCACTTCTAGCTCTATTAGTCTATGGCCCTCTATGGTCCTCAGCTGTAAAAGAAGCCTTTGGGACTAAGGAATCTCCCATGATCCTTTCGTGTTCTAAATCTTACTGTACTATAAACTTATAAGAGAACTGAGACCCTTGCATAGAACAGCTAGAACAAGACAATACAAGGAACTTTTACTGTTTTTCCCCTAACACAGCATAAACTGACTTACCGTACCCTGTAAAGCGGGTAAACTAAGTTGCAGCGCTTTATGAACATGTATGGAGGAACTCACCATAAGCGTCATTACAATTTAAATGTCAGTGAGGTCAACTATGATGCCCACTAACAGAGTTGGAAGGCTACTGCCGAGTGGCAATGAGAGCTCATACTAAAGTGGTTGAGTGGGAATAAAAATGAAGAGATGGATAAAAGCAGGAAGATTGATAAAATTTAAGGGCTGGTTATGAGTGGTGAGTAAGAGGAAAGAATGAGAAATATCACCAAAGTTTTGAGTGTGGGAAATTGGGTGAATGGTGTCCCTGATGTCATGGTCCTCTTTAAGAATGAAGGACAAACCACAATCTGTGAGTAGTCTGAGCTGCCTGAATGGGAACTTAGCTGGCCAGTTCTAGCTGGGCAACTCATCTCATCCTGTCCTGTTCTGTACTCTCTATAATCTATATGGCTATATTCAATGTTGTATAAATAGTGATGGTTACATTTTGTGCAGGGAAGATGTCTTCAACATTGACCTCTTCTCTAAACTTCATCAGTCTTCATTAGGCTCGTTGTGGTCACACCCTTCTTAGAAAGTAAGATGTTTGCATAAATAACCTGGAAAAATATGAGGTGGAATGTGAAGAGAGTTTAGGATGGAATGACCCCATTTGAGAGGGAAAAAAAGATGAGTTTATAAGACAAATTTTCTTTTTTCTTTAGCAATTTATTTTTATTTTTTTCAATTTTGAACATAAACGTCAATTAAATTAAGTAACCCCATCTATACCAGTAGAACAGAAAGATAGGCTTGCACATTAAACTGTAAATCCCTACATGTACAGCTTGCATTTCTTTTTAAGTACATAATAAATTCAACACATAACTTTCAAAGCTATCTTGCTTTATTCTTGGTCTTCCTTCTGTTCTTTTTTGGCCATTTCAAAAACTTATTCCAATGATCCTTTTTTGGGCTTCCCTATTTCTAGCTCCCTTCTCTTTCTCTTACCCCTGCCCTCACTGACAAAAAAAGAAAGTTAAAAAAAAACTCAACCTTTATTACAGATATATTGTCAAGCAAGCAAAAATCTCATATTGACTATATCTGGAAGTATGTCTCATTCTGTGCCTCTCAGTGAAGTGATGGGTAGCCTGATTCATCATTGGTTCTTTGAATCATGATTGGTCATTGAATTGATGGGCCTGTAGCCATTTTGAAAAAGAATAAAACTGACCCCTCAAATCCCAAAATGTTATATACTCTTTGCTTTCTGAAGAAATTTATTAAAAACCTTAAGTTTCTAAAGGATTATAGTCACAGTGGCTATTTTCTAGAGTTTTGGAGCTCAGTGATGGTTGTTTCTTGATATTGAATAAAGGGAATACAGGAGTCCCTCATTTTTCTCAGATCTCTTGTTACTCTACTTAGGAGTATTCTTCAAGGTATTATTTGCCCACCTTCATGGCATAGCTGCTTCAAAATAATTTTATTTAAAAGATTTTTAAGCAAGTGCTATTACTTGCTTTTTTTAGTGGATGGATGGGTACACAAATAAATAAAATAAATGATAAAACATTTGTGAAGTTATTACTTTGGGCTAGGCATTGTGCTAACAGCTTCAGATACAAACACAGCAAAGCAAAAACCATCCCTTCCCTCAAGAAGATTACCTTCTAGTAGGAGAAGGCATCACATATAAGAGAAGCCTGTCCAGTTAAGAAGTGTCTAGCAATGGTAAGTGGAGTCATGGAGAAATTGATTTCATTTTCTCTGGCTATCCCAGCTAAAATCATACCTTCTACACAAAACCTTTCTCTTTCTCCTTTAATTTAAGTGCCTTCCTTTTTATTGATAATCTGCAGTTTATCCTGTACATTTCTTGTTTATGTTAGTTGTTTGTGTGGTGTCTCCCCTATTAAACTGAGAGTGGAGGCTGTTTTTTTTTTTCTTTCTGTCCATTAGAGTGTGAGGTCCTTGCGGGCAGGGAGGGTCTTCTGTCTTTTTTTATATCCCCAGTGCTTAGCACAATGCCTGGCATACTGTAACAAAAATGGCGCTTATTAAATTTTTGTTATCTTGGCTTGGGAGAAAATAAGCTCGTTGTCAAAACCTTATGGCTTAAAAACACAAATGTAAAAGTTTTCCTAATTTCTTAAGTCTCATTTTTACTTTTTATCTTGATGCGCTTCCAGATTTAGCCACATATGATACAGTGCAATACTTGTTACCACTGAACGCATCACTTGAAGGCAATATTCTGCCTCAAGGTGTAGGAAGGTAATTATTTAAGTCTGATTCTCATACTACTTCCTATTAACTTTTCTTCCATGTTTTAAAAAGCAGACTTTCAGTTTCATTGTTTTGGGAAGCTCTTAATGAAATACTCCTAGATTAGCAATATTTTCTGTGAGAATTGTTTGGGACACTGAGAAGATAAGTGACTTACCTAGGGTAGCACAGCCTTCATGTGTCATGGGCCTCAGGGACTTGTTTTTGTATTTGTATCTCCATGGCCTAGCATGTACTTAATAAATCAATCAGTGAATAAATAACCAGGATTTTAGAATTCAATTTAGTTCAACAAACATTTATCAAATATTTCCTCATGACTATGCCCAAAGGGCTATAAAATTGTGCATATCCTCTGACCCAGCAATACCACTTCTAGGTCTGTATCCCAAAGAGATAATAAAAATGGGAAAAGGACCCACATGTAAAAAAAATATTTATAGCAGCTCTTTTTGTAGTGCCTAAGAATTGGAAATTGAGAGGACGCCCGTCACTTGAGGAATGGCTGAACAAGTTGTGGTATATGAATATAATGGAAAACTATTGTTCCATAAGAAATGAAGAACAGGTACACTTCAGAAAACCTGGAAAGACCTAAATGCACTGATGCTGAGTGAAGTGAGCAGAACCAGGAGAACATGTATACAGTAACAGCAACTTTGTGTAATGACCAACTTTGATCAATTTAGCTCTTCTCAGCAATGCAATGATCTAAGACAATTCCAAAAGACTCATGATGGAAAATGCTATCCACATCCAGAGAAAGAACTATGGAGTCTGAATGCAGATTGAAGTATAATATTTTCTCCTTTTTTGTTTCTTCTTTCTCATGGTTTTTCCCTTTGGTTCTAATTCTTCTTTACAACATGACTAATGTAGAAATATGTTTAATATGATTATACATGTATAGCCTATATCAGATTGCACACCATCTTGGAGAGGGGAGAGTGAAGAGAAGGGGAGGAAATTTAGAACTCAAAACCTTATAGAAGTGAATGTTGAAAATGAAAAACAAACAAATAAATAAATAATAAAAATATTACTAATGAAAAAGCCCCATGCTAAGTGCTAGAGATACAAAGACAAAAGTCAAACAGTCCTTGCCTTCCAACAGCTTCTATTCCATGAGGAGGTAGGGATGGGGCAAGATCAACTATGAACATAGATAAGTTAAAAGAAGGTAATTTGAAGTGTGAAGGTACACTAGCAACTGGGGAGCTGGTGTATCAAGGAAAGCTTCCCAAAGGAGTTACCAGCTGGCATAGAAGACAGCCTGTATGAAAGCATAGGAAAGTAATATGGAATAGTAGATACAGAGAGTATCTAATAGGCTCCATTTGTCTAGAAGAGAAGTAATGTCACTCTGGAAAGGTGGTTGGAGCCACATTGTGAAAAGCTCCAATAGCAAAGCTTAAGAATTTGCATTTTATCCTAGAAGTGCTTAGGGAACCACTGCAGATATTTGAATAGATTAGTCACATGGTCATACCTGAACAATTATTTTGGAATTCTGTGGAAGATGGATGGATTACAGAGAGGAGAGACTGGAAAATGATAATATTCCTGTCCTTTGGCTGAGCACTGATGAGGGACAGACCTAGAGTAATAGCCATGTGATTGGAGAGGAGACAAATGTGGTGGGATGTTGGAGGAAACATGTAGCTGGGGTTAGGATCTGTAATTTTCTTTTATCATAGTGGAAAACAGGTTGTAGCTACATTATGGAAAATCCTGAATGCCAGACTAAGAACTTATTTAATCTTTGATAGATGACAGGGGTGAAAGTGATAATGGCAGAACTGTGTTTTATGAAGCTGCACCTATCTGCTGGAGAGACAGATTAGATTATGGATAGCTAGTATTGACATAGTGCTTTAGAAATATTATCTCATTTGATCCTCACAACAACCCTGTTGGATAAGCACTATTATCATCCCTATTTTGCAAATGCCTTTATAGATGGCTAACAATCCACAACGGCACACGCTTTTTCAGTGGATTTGTGCCAACCTACATAATGCTCTTTTACCCATTGTGCCTTATGTAATAATGCCTTAACCATGGAACCAAAAAAAAAAAGCCTAAAACAAGACCCAAGTCACAACTCTGCCCTTGTTATGATGGCTTTGTAAACAGCTGAGCTAACCAGCTATAATGATGATAAGCTTGTATGAACTGACCACATTTAGGATCATAGGATCAGTTAAACACTAAAAAATTTACCAATATTGTAATGATAGCATTTATAAGTGATCATTGCTTTTTAATGGGAGTCCTTCCTATTGTCTATGGTCTCCAAATTTATGCCCCTTGGGCATAAAAGTATATGAGCATAGAAGTATATAGTCAAAGATACTTTTCTCACCAGCTTAGTTCATCAGTTGCAGGATGGGCACTTTTCTTTCTTCAGACTTTTAGATGACCTAAATTTACATGGCTTTTGTCACAATTGGTTCAAACAAATTAGGTTAAAACATTTAACAGAATGGGCATGTAAATTCCTTAGTGTCTGAGCTTGAATAGTTGGGGCATTTTAACTTGTTGTGACTTTTTAAGTCAAAACCACAGAAATTTTGCTAGTTTAATCCCAAGCATTACTGAATGAGGACTGAAAATTTTAGTCAGCTTTATTCTTTGGTTATTATCAAGAATTAACAGTGATGGTTAGTGTCTATCTCTAACATATAGATGATTAATAGTAAATCAAAATGTCCATTCTTTTTATTGTCTTGCTCACATTCATTTAAACATAACCAAGTTCAGGTTCCCTTATTCCTTACACATTTTTACTACTGTATTATACAATAGTGAATGTTCATCATAGTTACTATCCTTTATATTTTTATTTTTTTAATCTATTGTAATTTCTTCTCCACCTTGGCAAATTTTAATGAATTTTCTCTTAAATACAGTTCTCTTTTAACATGTATTCACTTTTGCAGCTCCCAACAGTCAAATAAACTAATTAGATTTCTTAAATCTTCCTATTGGTAAGATAAAGTTTTTACCTTCTTTAGGTATTTGATATGCTTGTACTCTGTCCCTCCAGTTAATTATAAGCTCCTTGAGGTTGGGAACTGGCCCTCTGTTATTTGTTTTTGTTTTTAATATCTGCATCTTACCCTCATCATAACTTCCAAATAGTTCTGCAGTTGGAAGTATTCAGCAGATATTATTGACTAATTAGTTAAAATTCATTTAATTAATGTTTCCTAATTCAAGAATTTGTGACAATTCTAACTGGGCTGAAAAGTAGAGCAGTCAAATTGTGTAGAACTTGTGAAGAATAAAAATAGCTAAGCAAATCCAAAATAAGATACAAAGGAAA